TCCCTTCCCTTCCCTTCCCTTCCCTTCCCTTCCCTTCCCTTCCCTGCTTGATGTGTTTAGCTACCCCATTCTTGCTTCACTCCCGCTGCTCTACTCCATCCATGCCCATATCCCCACCATCACAGAAAAGCCATATGAGAAGTAGAAGGAATTGCACTGAGTAAGCCTTCAGAAGAAAAGCTATTATATTATTAGGGCAAGTGCTGCCTTTTTAAATGGCAGCAACCATAAACAGCACACTTCTGAAGGGAACATCAGAGAATAAAAACAGCATATATTAAAATATGGCTCTTTGCAAAGAATCTGACCAGCTTTTTTCTTTTTAAGGGGCATGTTGTCCTACGATGCAAGCCACTGGAAAACGGTGGGCAAAGGAAGGGTTCAACCTCTTTCAGCCTGAGGGAGGAACTGAATTTCAGAGAAGCACTGGGGGTGGAGAGAGTGCATTCTGGAGGCGACTGGGGCCAAAGGGAAAAGGAAGGCCCAACGTTCTAGAAATATCCACAATATCCTATTTTAGCTTAAAGTGCTACTGCCAGTAACAAAAGAGGCATCGCAATCCTTTCGAATGCGGAAAAACATGCAAAAGCTGGAAAACCACCAAACACTCAATAGAAAGGGGACTGAGGTAAAACAAGGGTGGCTTAGTGCCCTGGGGACTCCAGGCAGACCAGGTGAAGGCCACAGGCCTGAGGTTCCACACGCCTGTGCTAGGACTCACCAATGCAGAAAAGAGTCTTGTCAGAGGGTCCTTGTGGGGGACCAGAGTTATAGCTGGTCTTGCATCCCTTTTTCAATGTAGTGCAATAATCTTGAAGCTCTGGGTAACAATTCCCTGAATGATAGTACCCGCTTGCACGTCGCATGCAACCACACATACATCCAGGTTTTCCATTCGCAAGCTTTCCGCCCCAGCCTCCCTGCCTCTCCACTCACCTGGGCGTGGGTGCCAAGCTTGCCACTTGCTGGTGGGAGTGGGCGTTGGGGAGGTTGCCTTCCTTGGTACTGGTCTGGCCTTCCACGGGGAGGTCAGGGGAGGTCTGGCTGACCTTGAGGTTGGCCTCGGGATAGGAATCCATATCGAGGTAGGACCGCTCAGGCATCTCGGGCCCCAGCTCCACCCGCTCGGCCAGGAGATCCCCAAAGGGCGAGTGGTGGAGGTGGGCATGGAGGAGGTGCTCCTTGCGCTGGGTTTGTGAGGAGGAGCCCTTGTCCCGCCAGGGGATCCAGCAGAGCTTCCACGAAACAAAGAGGGAGACTCCCAGCAGCACGATGCCGCAAAAGGTCACAATCACTGAGAGGAGGCTGACCAGGATCTCTAGAGGGGAGAAGTGGAGAGGCAGATACCACAACCGGACGTCAAGGGGGGCAGGCTTGCTCCCGCGGGCACCCGGCATCTCGCCCTGAGCTTGCTGCTTACTGTGCTACGCCCACCCCTTGCTGTGTGCCACGTCCTCCGGCCGCTCTGGGGGGGCGAGCCTGGAACTCCGGGCCTGTTGCCACCAACTGCCGGGCTTCGAATGCTCCACAGAAGGGCTGCTAAAGGCTCTGCTTCCAGCCCTGTGGTAGAGCGCTCGCTTAGATGCTGAAGGTCGCCGATTCGACCCTCAGCTTCTCCAGGCTGGCCTAGGAAAGAATCCTGCCTTAAACTTGGAGAGCCAAGGCCAATATTGCACCAGCTGGTCTCGCTCAGTTAAAAGCAGCTTCCTGTGCTCCCACCTTCTCTGCCTGAGTCATCAACAGTTCCTTCTGCTCCTTTCCCGTGCTCTGGAGGGACATGAGGGACATGAGCATGTGGGTCCCTTCCCAGCCCGGGACCCACACTGGGCACCCTGAGGCAAAGGAGAAGGCAACCAGACTGGCACTTGAATCTCACTTCAGTGCTGGTGAGGGGAGACGGTGTTCCAGCACCCCTGAGGCCAGCAGGCCGCAACGGGGGAGCAGGAGCAGTGGTCAGAGAAGACTGCCCGGTGGGCTCAAGGGGAACAGCCAAGGGGCTGACACTGCTGCTCCCCTTTACTGGGAGTGTTGGACTATGGCCAAAGCTGAGCTCAAGTCCCCGCTTGGCCAGGAAGCTCGCTGGATGACTCTGGGCTACTCACGAACTGGCAGGCCAATCTACCTCACAGGGTTGTTGTGAGGAGAAAGAGAAGAGGAGGATCATGACTTGATCTCTTTGAAAGAGAAGCAGGCTATAAATCCAATGAACAACAAGCAGCAGCACTTGCCTCCTGAGGCAGTTGCTGCCCTCTGCATAAAGGCAGGCAGGCAGGCTACCTTTGAAATGCTAGGCATCAGGAGAGACCTCCATACATAAACCCTCAGATGAGCCTATCTATCTATCTATCTATCTATCTATTTATATTTTTCAATTTATATCCTGCCTTTTTCCTACAAAGGGCTCAAGGCAGCTTACATCATTCTCCTCCTCCATCTTATCCCCACAACAGCAGCCCTGTGAGGTAGGTTGGGCTGAGAGTCTGTGACTGGCCCCAAGTCACCCAGTTGGCTCCATGGCTGAGCGGGGACTAGAACCCAGATCGTCTGAGTCCCAGTCCCATGCTCTTAACCACTACACCACACTAGCTCTCTCATTATACTGCCCCCTTTGCATGAATTGTCAGTGAAAGCTACTTTGGAAAGACTCTCTTGGCTAAACAATGAAGTAGGAATGTCATACTGAGAGAGAGAGAGAGAGAATGGGGAACTTGCTGCCTTCTAGCAGCTGCTGGACTTAATTCCCTTCTGTCTCAATCGCCATGGCCAACAGCCAGGGATAATAGGAGCTGTAATCTGACCACACCTGGAGGACCACAGGTTCCTAACCCCATCTCTAATATTTATTAATCACAATCACATCCCCAAGTGCTCATTCTTATGCTACCAAAATGGAACCATTTTGCAAGGAGTAGGGAGGGTAAATAAAACCAACCCAACAAGAGCCAAGTGTGTTTAGTGACCATGGAATGCTGATGGATTATGGTACAAAGAGCACTCCTGGCTGACTTCTCTTTCATGAAGACATGCCAAGCCTGTCTCTTATGGCTTCCTTGTCCTGTTCAACCTCAATGGCATCAGACACAGCCAGCAGAACCCTGGGGCCCACCATTAAATACCCCATTTGAGAAGTTCTTTCCCAGTTGGATCAAACTTGCATATTCAACAAGAACTGCCACATTGATGGCTCTTGATTCGGAGTGCTTGCCAAAAAATATCCCTCTGTACTTTAAAGTAGATCACTTTGCCAAAAAGTGGTGAGGACTAGAAACCTGGTCCTCTTAAAATTCAACAAAAGCTCAACAAGACCTTATTTCACCAGGGCCCTGTAGGACCTATCTGACTATGCCAGAGGCCCTTTTCTCACAAACTAGAATTATCAGATGCCATCCAGGCATCCTTTCTTTCCCTGCATATCAACATAGACCCAGGAAGCCCTGAACTGGTACATGACTCTCTGGGACTTCCAGCTAGGCCTAGGTCAGGATTCCTCCTCTTACTGAGGCCTTTGCTTCTAGAAATGGGTCATATCACCCCCCTACTACTAAGCTCCTCACCAGAGTTGATGGGACCCACGTGGCCTGTCAATTCCTGACACTTCTCGCGTTCCTGGGCAGCACATGTGTTGGCACACAGCACATGAAGAAGCTCCATTGCCCTGCGGTGTCTGTCTTCATCGTAATCTCCCGACATGATGCCTGAAGAGGAAGCAGAAGGGCGACTCACAACGCACATTCAAAAGGAGATCACAAGTGTCTCTGACCCATGGTTATGTCTGCAGTTGGCATGCTCCTCTTTAGTGTACACTGCCAGTTCCCACTGCTTATGACAGACCGGCCAGCCAGCTTCTTGGAGCACTCTGACATTACATGCAGGTTCCATATGCGGCCTCTCCAGGTCAAAGGACTCCATGATGGGACAAGGCCTCTGCTCTGTCTGGGAGTTGCTATCAGCCAGAGCAGGCAGACCCAGGCTACGTAGACAGATTGTCTGAACTACGCAAGGCCACCTCATGCATTCCAGGAAGTGCATCCTGTATCCCAGGCCCACAGTTCTGAACCACGGATTCATGGAAGACCTAGGCAAGGAAAGTGGAGGAGGCACAAGAGTGACACACACAGTGGCCTATCCTGCACCGTCCAACCATATCCTGTTCCTCAGAAAGTAAAAAATCTCCTCCCACTGATGCCGGAAAGAAGATATGTCTTCCATTGATTTTTGCAAACAACAACAACAAAACCTGTAGCAACTGAGAGTAAGTCACTCTAGGCAGCTGCCTAGAACAGTCATGTGGGAATGCCACCCCCTTTAAATTTTCCCTGTTTTTGTCCCCCAACTGTTGCCATGGGTGAAGTGTCAGATTAGAACTGAACAGCCTTCAGTTCAAGTGACTAAGTGAGGATACAGCCAGGAAGCTACTGGGTGACCTTGTGCCAGCCTAACTTACTTCACAGGGCTGTTGTGAGGTTGCAGACAGAAGAGAACACACATGCCTCTTTGAATCCCTTGGAGAAATGACATGAAACCAAACACAATTTTATATGAAACTTCTCAGAGAGGGTACTGGGGTCCATGAAGAGAAATTGCAGGATATAACCTTCACACGCCCCACCCCGCAGGACATCAACTGCTCCCCCCCACAAAAAATGCACCAAATGCTCTAGTTGTCTTCTGATTCAGGGGGTACACAATAGAAAGAGTAGGAAATGTGGGATGTGTGGTCCTAAACCTAAGAGTTGTACAAAGTAGGACATGGCACAAAAATAAAACACTTTCCTCTAGTAACCCTGACAAAAGTGCTGAATGCTGTCAGCCTCTATTTGGTTTATTCCAGGAAGCATATAACAAGCCAGGCAGGCAAGGGCAGATGGGAGGCGAAGAAGGCCCACAGAAGCAACAGGAGCTTGTTGCTTTGTGGAGAGATTCTGTAGGTCGCTGCGTAGCAGGTCAGATCAAACAGAGCCTGTGTGGCACAATGGTTAGAGCGCTGGACTGGGAGGCGTGGGAGACCTGGGTTCTATTCCCCATTTGGTCTTGAAGCTCCCAGGGTGCTTTTCAGCCAGCCTCTGACTCTTAGCTTAACCTACCTCACAGGGTAGTTGTGAGGATAAAATGAAAAGAAAGAAGAGAAATGGGTTTCCACCGATAGGAAAAAAGGGGGATATAAACTTAATAAATGCACAATTCCTGACCATACCAAGTATGGAATATCCTCTTGCAGAATGCAGATAGAAGACTGAGGCCGGAAGTGGATGTTACAAGGGAAATGAGGACTTTGCAATCTCCTGTATCCCTCGTAACTTTAGCACATGCAGATGGGGACTTGCAGAGGGGAACTGGCAGGTGACAGTTTGTAAGCCAATGAGGGGGCAAGGTGGAGCCATCTAAGGAAAAGTGGGGGGCTCAACCCGAACCCCAGGAGAGCCACACCCCTGAGTTGTGTGAGCCTGGCATAGGCCCGTGATGACACTGCTTGGTGTCATCCTGCCTCCCCTCACGTCTTGTTTCAGCATGAAAGGGCTTCCACAAGTGTCGCTACAGCGGCTAGTCACAACAAGCATCCTCAGTGGGTGCCCTTCCACCAGAAAAGCTTCTCAAAACATAGCAGGCCACTACGGTTTCCCAAACGAGGTGAGGCAGTTGCCATGGAAAACATGAAGGACTGGCTGCCCTCACTTGCCTCCCCAGTGACAACTGCCCCACGCATCCTGTGCTGTGGGGGCAGGAGGCTGCTGATCAACCATTATGTGGTTCAGCCTAGGAGTGAATACCTCCTGTACCCACCAGTTTATGAAACAAGGGTACTATACAGTGCTGCTAACACAGGTCAGTAACAGGAATTCTCCTAGTCTAATGGAAGAAAAGGGTGGGGAGAATGTGGAGTTGGGGCTATACAAAAGGCAACGCTATTGAGTTATGTCAAAATGTCTGAAGACTAGACAACCACTGTCAGAACATTTCTGTCTCTGGGCCTGTCTCAGTGTCACTTCCATATCTGAGGTGGCGGAGAGAACTTTGTGTTGCTGCTGGAAACACATGGATATGTTGCTACTAGTCCTCCAAGGAGATCTGGGTGGCACCCAGAGGACTTAGGGGACAAGAGCCATGGGAATAGCCAAGGCATTTCCACTCATCTGGTTCTCCTGACTGTCACCTAGTCAGCAGCCATTCTACTAATCTGCAGAGCAGAGTGAGAACAGAAGAGACAAGCAGGGCTATTTCATTATCTCTGCTGAGAAACCAGCTCCCCAACCATGACAGCTGCTCTATTAGGCTATGTTGATCTGATTCTAGCCCAACTGATAAGGAGTACAACTAAAAACTAGTGCCGAAGCTTGCTTTATTCCTTCTCCCTCCTCTTTGTTTTTACCTCATGTGTCATGTCTTTTCGAATAGAAACAAGGCAATTCATACAACAGAACTTTGTAAGCCACTCTGATGCCTTTGGCGTTGGGGGGGGGGGGGATAAAATGCTTTACATAAATACAATGCAATATTTCCCTGTAGATACAGGTCCCCAGATACCCCTTCAAGGTATCTCTCCTATGGGACCTAGGCATTTTTAACTTTATGGTTGGGATGACTTTTTCAGCACTTCTGATCCCACACTGCAGCTTCTGTCCACATACATTTTTTATTTTGGCTCCTAAAAAATAGGCAACATTTGATCATCTGTGGACAAACAAAACTAAATTAAACAAGAGAAACAAAATAAGAGCAACTGCAAAAGTCAACAACAAAAGAATGTTGGCACTAATATCATTGTTAATAATAGTTACATTAAGGTGCATGACATTTTTCAGGGAACAAGAAGACAGACAAGTATCCTGCACCAATAAATTTATACAGTATAAAATTGCATGTGATTATATCAATCACACATACTTAAAGATGCAATTATAGTATGCCATAAAACTATTACTATCATTTCTATCTTTGTTTACATATGTGACAGATAACTTTCCCCACCACCCCTGCACAAAATTTCAGGAGGTTCACATTAAAGAAACTTCACTGGAGTTCCTTACTTTGAAACATAAGGATTAGAAATAGCACTTTCTACAATGAACGTTGGATTCCATCCCTCCCCACAGTTGAGGCTTACCTAGTCAGGAAACTGGTTCAGGGGAAAGCTGTCAGATTGCTTCTGTACTGCTGGATCCAGGATGCCAACTGGTCCAGGTCACTGCCAGGCAGCAGGGTAGCAGGATGCTAAAACCGAGTCCATGGGGATCTGAGTCCATGTGTGAGCAGCAGCAAGGTGGGAGAAGCAGGAGAACAAATCTGCCATCCGGAGCACTGCTGCGTCCATGTGTCGCAGGGGGTGGCAGGAGACCGAGGCAGGGACACCTTCTGCTGGATGCTCCAGGAGACGAAACCAGGCTGCCAAAGAGGATCAGTGGTTCTGGCGGGGTTCACAATGCCTGGACAGAGTCTCAGATCCCCAGGTGATCTTAGGGGGCTTCTTCATGGTGGGAGGGGGTGCTTGTTTTCTAAATTCTTGATGAAACTGCTTGCTTACCACTGCTGCAACCACCCTCCTTGGTGTTGTGGACAGCTACATTGATAAAAAGACCCATTAGGGATGGACTCGTACCCTCCTTCTCTTGCTCCCCTCTCCTCCCTGCTCTCATCCAGCCCCATCAAAGGGAACCTTCTCGTCTTGTAAACTAAGGATAGGGAGCATGTGATCCTCCAGATAGTGTTGGACCCTGCCCACTGCACATGCTCAGTAGGCTAGATGGGAGTTGCACTCCAGCAACATCTATGGGGCCACCTGTTAGCCATCACTTATGCAAACCCAAAGAGACTGCCTCTCTCACTTTACCCATTATCCCTTACAGAAGGAATTTTGAACCTTCAACCCATGGGGGTTCCCCACTCCAGCCCTGCAGCTTCTTCCCCTTGTCCTGCCCCTCTATCATAGATGAGGAAGCTCTTATCTCTGATTGGCAGCTAATCAGAGATAAGAGCGCTCCAGGTAGCACAGGGCCAGGGCCAGGGCCAGGGCAGGAAGCAGCTGAATCAGCCCTTCTTTCTAAGCCTTGCCCCGGTTACTTGAAAGCAGATCTGCTGCTCATACCTGAGTCGGAGTAGACGTGTATAGGTTTGACGTTTGGGATACTATCTAAAAGCACTGCTGAGTTATTCAGTCTTGCTTACATCTGAATAGACACACTGCTGCTTGTCACGCTTGTTAGTGGAGGCAGAGTTTCTTCTTTGTGGCCTCACCCGGAAATAACACCCCAAGAGCTTTTTCAAAACAGAATCTGTCTCAAGGGAAATAAAACAAGATTTCTCCACATTCCCCATCCTTGCCTTATAGATGTGAAATTTTAGGTAGAAATTTAGTGAGATTAAGGGTTTGGTGTACATAGCAGAGCAGACTAGAAAGCAGGACTTTTTTTGACAAAAGATTTAGCAGACTTGAACCGGGAATGGGATAAGTCCAGATTCTTGTGAAATAAAAAATCTTTGGCGGTAGCAATGAAGAGGGTGCCACAACACCAGGATCCTCTAGACCAGGGCTGTGATGTAGTGGACTAAGCTGGCAAAAGAGGGATAGTGCAATTTCCGTGCTCCTGTTTTCTTTCTGCGCCTTCGACAATCACAAGGAAGTCTCCCCACCTGCGAACAGCCTCACAGGAGTCCCTGCTTGTGTGGAACTTTCAGGCTGAAGAAAGGTGTAAGCA